AATACATTTATGGTAAACCCACCTAGTGTTAATCAAAGTAGACATTATCTAGCTGTATACCCCTTTATAGCACTCATTGTCACATATGATAGTGTAATATAGGTTAATGTAAACCTTATATAACAATGTTATCGAATCCATATATGTCTGATCTATCAAATACTAATCAAATCAAATCAAAGTAACATTTTCCAGTTGCGTTCTCCTTCTTGCCTCGTTGTCACATTATGTGATGCAATCGGATGTTCTAAACTATTACCTAACAGCTGTGACATGGGCTATACAACAAAGCTTTTATCTGTTTAAATGCGATGTTAACACTTCAATCTGATTGATGTAATATTAGTGGAATTTATGTATAGTGGGGGGGGGGTCATTTCATAATAGTTTCATTATCTGTCTTTTTCAGTGAACATTTTTCTCATTTTGTAATTAATGTTATTATTATACATCTGTCACCGTAACGCCATAAGTTAGAGCGTGCCGTAATTTTGCGGTATTTTACGCGATATTTTCATCCTATCATATTAGGAAATGCTGAATTCCAAATATGGAATGATTACGCGCGTAAGCGTCCTCTAATAATAAAACATGGCTGCCACCAGGGTTTGACTGGACTCCACACAAAGAAGTTCGCTGATTCTGTTCTAAACAAACAATACGTACAACGTATGCTCACAGTTAATTGGCGCTGATTACTGATTTTATTTTTTGTTAGTTAAGGCTAACTTCAATTTTATCAACATACCCCGTGGAAACAGTGGGATTATTCCGAAGATATGTCCGAAGATATGTTTACATGCATTACTTGTAAATATCCAGCATAAATACACACCACATATAATTACTCAGTATGCAATATAGTGCAATGCAATTTGATTATAACGTGGCATCATCTTCTGACAATCACCCTTTAAGTGAGTCTTTCCAGAATGGAAGTCAATATGCAAATATGAAATCATACTTGTTACAGCTTTGTTGACATCATTTCCGGTTCCCAGTATATTTCGTCTTTGAATGAAGCCATGTAAATGGAAGCTACTTTGAATTGCAGATTTTGGTAAAGGCAACCACAATGTATTTTAATTATATTGTTGTTGTTTGAGAATTGTCTTGTTAGACCCAATTGTTTATTAGAATTTGTGCATAGAACTAGCATGACAAAATAAATCATAAAATGTTATATAACAAATGTCAGTTTGCACTCATATTGGCCTTTATAGCTCATTAAAATATATTCCTACAATACAGAGTCATGCCACGCAAATATGCTATCGAGATAGGGATTAACATTTTGTTCTCTTGAAAATTGATTAACGACAGTCCGACAAGTAGAGTGAGTTTTTTTTAAAGCACGCGTGTTCTGGATTAATCTCTTTATTAACTCTTCAACAAATTTACTCCGTTTGCCATAAATACATATGCTGATATATAAAAAAAAAAAATTGATTTTCTGTTCGTCTGATTTTTTAGTTTAAATTTATAGTCCCAGCCTGCATATTTTAAATTACTATCGCAGTCACCATAGCAACAACCATTGTGCCCAATATGCTCAAATTCGTGAGGTTTTGGCGCATAAATTATCGTTTAAGGGACAACACGTGACGTAGGTTTTCAAATTGTTCGCATCCACATTCCAATGATATTATCGCGCATGCGCAACAAATACTTCTATTCACAAATAAGTCACTAAGAAACACGCTATTATTATTATTATTATTATTATTACATACACAAGCCAAATTGTTTGTTTCTTGCAATGAAGTCTCAATTGTTTATTAGTTCTTTTATGACTTTCTTTGGAACTTTTGTTTTGAAGAATACACAATGTCACAATTGTGAATGTAAGTGAGGAGTCGGGTGTGTGTTGTTCGCTGTCGTCGGGATATCGGGAGTGGGATTCTTCGAGTCGGGGAAACTCAATTAGCAGCGGAGGTACAGTGATCGTTGATGTACACCCATTCAATTAGAATTATGTACAGAGACAGGAAACACACCAAGAT